TACTCTCGTTCCCCACCTACACATACTGCTGGTGGGATCTCTTAATAAAAACCCAATTAGTATTTCTTTAACTTTCCTTCGGATACTTAAATACCGTTACTCCAAACACAACATAATGCCTCTATTTTTCTCTTTCAATCAAGAATTCAAGTAGCATCTTGACTTGTATATGATATATCAGCAGTAAAATCATGAGATGCTGACATTCTTAATAATAGCAATTAGTAATCAGTTGTTTCTTGAGTCGTTTGATTACACCAGTTACCAAATTGTACAGTTGATGGATTTGGGGGGTGAGGTGGGTCTTGCCACCCCACCCCCAGCCGTCCTTTCTCTCTGTGTTCTCGGTGGGTAGTGAGTCGATGGGCACTGAAAAGAGGCAAGCGTAAATAATGCAATTGTTGCTGACATTAAACAGTAGACACTTGGCTTTAGCAGAAAATGCAATGACATATTTCTTTGCAGAAGAATGAATCCCAACAGTGTCTGTGGAAACATAGACTGTGCCTGCCCGCTTGAAGTGGGAGCAAAGGCACTTGGCCTGTCCATGCCAATAACCGCACCCAGAGTTTGATCTGCTTCTCAGGGCTAAACCCCGTGCTAGGCTCTGGATACAAACAAGTGTTAAGCAAGGTTCTTGTCCTGGAGGAAGTTGCATTTGGGTTTGAAATATCCAGTGGGCACATAAAAACTATCCTGGCAAGGCTGTATATTTCAGTAATGAATGGAGGCTAAGGGTATTATGCTTTTGTGGAGGGAAGAGACAAAGTTGCTGCCCTGGTAGCCAGGGGTGGCCTTCTAGGTGACCTTCTTTGTGTAGGGTCTGGAAGGGTGGAGTGGCAAAGGTGAGCAGAGGAGGTGTAGCCCTGGCTGGGAGGATCCTGTTGGGATGGGAGAGCTGACTGTGGGGATCTGGGGGCCCAACTCCGTTGCGCCCAGCTGGGCATCCCAAGTCCATCCTAACAGGAGAGCAGGTGTCTTTGCAAGGGCACAGGCAAGTGGCTTCTTTAGGGGAATCCTGATAGATGCCCGTTCTCTTGCCTAATGCCTGCCTCAGGAGGTACCTTCTGTGCTTTGCCTCATTATCTGCTGGGGCTAATTTTTCAGTTCCTTTGACCTCTATCTGTACCAAGGGAGCTCATGTGCACCGGAGTCATTTCCACCATCTTCTCAGTAGATGTCTCTTTTTCTCTATGCTTTTTTTGTGATGCTGACATAGATGCATTGGAATAAATTATGTTTTCTTTGTTCTATTTGGTAGGAGTGATAAGTTCACAGGCTGATGAGCATGGTGATTTCATTGGAGGGTCCTTGAATGATCATGTTAGCAAGGAGAGAGAATGGTTACTTTTCTTTTTCTTATGTTTGTACATTGTTGTCTTTTGAGCAATACCCTCAAATCTGTCAACTGGAGTTGGGATGGAAACTTCTTCGCTCTTCTTTCCTGAAAACACTTTTGCCAACGTGACACTTGGCTCTTGCCTTCTCCTGGCCTGGGTGGGCACCCCTGGCTCTGCCACCTCGCCTGGCCCAGCCCCCCTTTTTTGGTGCGTGTTATCATTCCTTCATCTTCACATTCCTCTTCCCAAGGATTTAAGTGCTTGGCAGCATCCATTCCCATCATGGGCTGCATTTCAAGGTTATTGCCATAAATTATGACCACTCTTCAAAAATTTTAAAGACCCCACGTGAACATTTTAATCCAAACAGCTCTTGTTCCCATCTGGGATGTTCCCCAAGGACTTGTGCTTACCTTGAGAAGGAGACTATTGGCTGTCACACTCAGAAAAAAGGAAATGTGCCAATTTTGGGCTGTGACAGTGAGTGTTGGGATTATGGCCTCAGAGAAACATGGAGAAGGAAGGAGCCTAAATAATCATCTAAGCCAGCAGTTCCCAAAGAGCATCTGCAAATTACCAATTTTACGTGTTGTCAACAGAAACTGAAGTTCTGGGATCAGATAAGAAACCAAGTCAAATGCAATTGCAATCTTTAAGTTCCTTTGATATGTTGATTTACTGTGTCAGTCTCTGTGAGGAGGACTCAACAAGGAGCCCTTCTCAAGTTCTCATTTCACCTTAAGATTTTCTCAGGAAGTTTATGAATCTCTGTCTGGGAAGCACTAATGTAATCTCATACCCTAGTTAATACATGGAGACATTGGACCTGAGAGAGAAAGCGACTTTCCCGAGGTCACACAGCTTAACAGAGTAGAGGCTCAGTAAATCATCACAATCACAGATCCTTCTAGTTTCTATCTTAGCTAGTGGCACTATCCTCTACTCATCACCAAAACCTTTCCATTGAGCCTCCTAAATATCTCTCATCTATGTTACTTTACCTTTGTGTTTGTCCCACTGCTTTGGCTTAGACCCTTGCCATTTCTCACCTGGGCAACTGCCTTCAATTACCCCCACATAGACTTTTCTACCTTTTCTTTGTCTCCTTCAGAATCTGGTTTCCCATTTCAGCCAGAGTGAAAGACCCCAAATGCAAGTCTGACCATGTTGCTCCCTCTACTGTCATTCTAAAGTCCAGACAACTTTGTGACAAAGTCACTGACAACAAGACTTGCCCTAGGATCACATCTTATTCATTTAGCATACAATCATCCTGAAATGAAACAACCTGTAATAGACTCAAGCACTTAAAACATGTCACCAGAATCACATTGTCCCTGACCTTCTGAATCATATAATTTGGTAGGAAAAAGTACACATGTATATAATCTATTACTTGATGGATTCATTGTGGAAGGGGACACAAATTTCTTAACACAATTTTCACTGGTTTCAAGCATTCAGTAGAGTGATGGGGACAGTAAAGATTCTGTGGGGCAATCAGTAATGTGAAAAGAACGGATATTTTAAATTGAGGATTGCAAATCCACAAATCTTTATCTGACCGGGACATGTTTGTGAAGGAAAAGGATACTTGCTTCAGCCAGAATCCCAGCAGAAAGCACATGGAATGATAACAGGGCATAATCAAGACAGGCAGCATTAAGGAAAACCACCTGGAGGTGGAGGTAGCCACAGTCACAGTGGAAGGCCTTTCCCATCCCTGTACCTGAAGGCGTCAGCAGAGAGGCAGGATCTGTCAAACCACAGGAGTGACCTGGCAGGGAGGAGTCCCAGCAAACACATGCCCTGCCTTCTCTTTCTAGCTCTGTTCAATAGCTGCACCCAACAAGAGTCAGAGGGTAAGCGACGGATTGTTGCAGCCTCTTAAAAATCAGCCTCACAGGGCAGCTCGGGAAGGGTGGATCTAGAGGGCAAATACAAAATATATAGGTCCAACCACCACTTATGTTGACAAAGCCCCCCACCATCCCCTAGAGCAAGCAAGCTCCTTGGAGACATGGAATATACCAAGTTTGAGATCATGACTCCTGGGCCTGTGGACACAGATATTAGGAAAACCTAGATAAACAAGAAGCAGGAGATGATTTCTCCCTAAAGCCTAAAGCAGCTTACTTCAATGCCTCAATGAAAGGCAGCCCAGGAAGTATTCCCAGACCACAAGAGAGGGAGGAACGGATCCGTCTTGGAAACTCCAATCTTAGGATGCTGTCTTCATCACATAGAAAGTTCTTCTTTCTAGGATAAACATCCTATGCGTGTTCCATTTCAGCTCCCCTCCTTCATGTTCTGGGCATGCGCACATGCTTGTATATGTGTGCACATGTTGCATGCATGTACCTATGTTAAGAGGGAGTCTGTGGGTGAAGAGGCGTCCTCAACATCCCTTAGGGATGCTGACTAACATCGGGGGGAGTAGGTGCGGGCACATCTCACAAGCTAGAAAACAGCATAATACAATGAAATGCAAAACACACACATAGCCTGGGTAATAAACATAGCACGACCTTGTCTCTATAAAAATAAAGAAATTAGCCAAGAGTGGTGGCATGGCTGTAGTCCCAGCTACTCGGGAGGCTGAGACAGAAGGATTGCCTGAGCCCAGTAGGTCAAGATTGTGGTAGCTGTGATTGTGCCGCTGTGCTCCAGTCTGGGTGACAAACCAACAACAATAAAAAAAAAGTAAATCACAGGTTAGGGAAACCATCTTCAATGACTATGACAGAGGAATTATATCTATGTCAAGCAAAGAAGTCCTCCAAAATGACAAAAAAGTTTCCAAGAGATGGCAAGATATTACCCAAAGGCCCAAATAGACTGGTCACACACATGAAGAGGCCTACAAAGAAAAACAAAGTCCTGTGGACAAGACTTCATCCTCACCCTCAAAGAAAGGATGGGTGGGCAGGCAGGTATGCTGAAGAATTACCAGCATACACTTATGAGATTGGCAATTTAAATCCCAATATTTGTAACTAGCAATGCTTGTTGGTGAGGTTGTGGTGAAACTCCCCCTCACTGTTAGAAGGAAATCCTTGTGGAAAACAATTTAGAAACACACTTTAATAAATTTATATATTCTTGTTCCTGTAATACTGTTCCTAGAAATTTACCCTAGGAAGTTCACTCTAAATAAGAAAAAAGTCTTATAAATGCTGATAAAGATACTCCTTACAACATTATTTAAAGAAGTAAAAATTAAACATTCTCCTTTTGTGGGCATTTGATTCAAGTATTTCAACAGGTATTGAAATTAGGAAGACTATGGAGCAACATGGAAAATACACATTCTAATTCAGATTTAGATTTTGTAGATCTCAGGAGAGTAGAACACAAAATTACATCTATAATATGGTTATAGGTAGGTGAAATTGACACATGAAATTGGGCAAGTTTAGAAATGAATGGAACCCTAAGAGTAGCCACTGTGGGACCAAGGATTAGATTTTTGTGTTATGCTATACTTGTTGGTTATGCAGCACACATACATATACATAGTACATATAGCATGCATGTGTGCATATATGTGAGAGTCAGATATGTGAGTACACATCATTTGCCCCTCCCAACCAGGATCCCCAACCCCTTCAGTGTAATTTAGTAATTTAGCTCCAAACACAGCAGACTGATTCGGAATACCTAGCAGCACGCCAGGGGGCAGCTGAGCCGAGGGGTCTTTCATCCAGTCGTCATTGGCCAGTTCTATCACGGCGTCCACAGGCTTAACTTCAGTGCAGATCAAATCCCTCACTCTCTCCTCATCCTTGGCGTCCAGGGCAGACTTTAATCTCATCACTAAATCTGAGTTGAGTGGGTAGTCGGGAAGGTAATCAGAGTTGGACATGGTAATGCCGTTTGTGTATTGACCAGCCTTTCTTCCCTTCTTCTAAAGTGAGTCCAAACTCAGCAGCTGTCACCAAGAATGGTGTCGGTGTTGCTAAAAATAGAAGAAACTTGGCTCCCATTACAGTCTGTGGGGAGGACTACTTGCCAACAGGGAGATGTGAAGTAATCTTTCCAAAGGCCTCAGTGACGGATTATTCTAGAGATGGGGGCAGTAGACATGTTTAGGAGTGGGGCAAGAAAAATGGACTATATTTTCAAAGAAAGTTCTCATAGGTATTGTTGAATAATGTCTTTTTTTTTTTTTAAATCAAAAACAAGGTTCTCCTGAAACTTTAAAAAGTTTTTCCTGAGACTGGACTTGGAACCTCTCTTCTGTTGAAAGGAACATTTTCTAATATTCTACTCCTCATACTCCTTTACTTCATCTAAAAGAAGAATCTGATTGCCTGCAAATGGAACATACCTTTAACTGAATAGAATTGAATGGAATCTTTTGTTTCCAAATTCAGAGAAGGCTGGCTTGTCTCAGGAAGACAAAAGCATCACATGAGTGAACAACAACAAAAAAAGCAAGCTAAATATTAGCTGTGACCTCTCTACCCTCCAGGGCTGGTAAACCTGGCTCCAAGTCCACAATTCCATGACGTGTGGAAGTGTAGATCCCCTCATGTGAGTTTCTGTGTACTCCTGGGGGTGGAGGGTGGGGGGGCTTTTCCACATGGTGACCTCTGTCTTCAGTGTTTCCATGTCTCCCCATGCCAAAACTTATACACAAGCATATCTGCTCAAGCAGTTTTCTTGCTGACATCAGGGTGTTGTGGTCTCTGAGGATGTAGGGTGTGCCATAGAGCTTTTATAGTGTTTCCTCCACCTTACATTGTCTTGCCACCTTTTCCTTTTCCTTTTTCTTGCTTTTTTTCCTTCTCCCGTTGTGATTAATTGTATGTGTCAACTTGGCTGGGCCATGGTGCCCAGATACTTGGTCAATCATTAGTCTAGGTGTTTCTGTGACATTTTTGGCGGGGATCAGATTCACATTTTAAAATCAGTGGACTTAGAGTAAGGCAGATAGCCCTTTTTGATGTGGACAGGCCTCATCCAATCAGTTGAAGGCCTCAGTAGAACAAAAGACTGGCTTCCCCTGAGTAAGAAGGAATTCTGCCAGCAGGATGCCTTAAAACTCAAATGGCATCTCTTCCCTGGGTCTCCAGCCTACTGGTCTACCCTGCAGATGTTGGATTTGCTAAGTCTCTACAGTTGTGTGAGCCAATTCCTTAAAATAAATTTCTCCCTTCCCCCCTACATGCTGTTGGTTCTGTTTGTCTGGAGAACCCTGACTAATACAGCCCTCCTCTTTTTCAACTCCTTTGTTTGATTGTGCAGGTTGTTTTATCTGCATTTGAGGTGTCAAACACTGTAGTTCTTGTTCAATATCAATTCTCCTTCTATCTATCCAAAAGAGCCTGGATTTTCTTAGCTATGACACTGTGCTCAGCTCTTAGAGATGAATTGTGTTGATTTAAGTCAGTAATATAAATCCTAGTCTTCTTTGCAAGTAACTAGATGTCCCAGCCTTCCTGGCAATCCAGTTCTGGCCAGCAAGAGCAGCCATGGTCTACTGTGGTATGTCTGGGAAGGTATTTGCTTTCTTGATTGAAAGGGACAGAAGTGGCTGATACCTCCCTTTCCCTTTCTTCTTTTCTTGTACATAGACATGATGTCTGGAGCTGTGGCAGCTGTATCACAGTCATGAGATAACAGACACGAGATGAAGGATCAACACACTAAGAGGAGAGGAACAGAAAAATGGTAAGAGACTGGAGCTGATAGTTCTCAACTTCTACCCCAGTTCTAGGGTGTCACCTGTCAGACTTCTTGTCTTTATGCCTCAAGCTCTTTTTGTGTGTTGTATGTTACTTGCAGCTAAAGACATTCCTGGTTGATTCAGGTAGTGTATTTATCCTGCCTTTAAATCATGGAATGTCCTGGTTTCAGTCTAGAGAGATGAAGCAGGAATGACTCAGCTAGTGATGAAGAGCTTGAGTTAATAACCCAAGTTTTCTGTTCTTTGATAATAATAACTCTTTGCCTATTATAAAACCTCAGTGGATTTTGCAATGACAGTAGTTCATCCCAGACTCCCCACCTGGAGGAGCAGTGGCACCATGCACTAAGCTTATAAATGAGCAAGGAGCCAAGGCCACCGGAGTGACTGCCTTCCAGCATCACAGGCCTTGAAAAGTGAACCCTGATGGAGACATCCATGGAATCACCAGCTATAGATTCTGCCCAGAAATGAGATATAAACTCAATGGATTTGTCTTCAGTTCAGAGGTTTGACCAAATTGCAGAGTATCATTGCTAGATTTTTGAGATTGAACTTCCAAGTACAAATGTATTACAGCATCAAATCCCTTACATTTAGAAGGAAACCCAGCTCTAGCACATTTATGAAAATATAGTGAGAGATAGGGTAGTGACCATAGGAAAATGATCAGCTTTGGGGTAAGATAATTTAAAGAAACAAAATGGGAATTATTAGAGACTGCTATCAAACTTCAAATCAGAAGGGTGGTAAAGATGAAGCACTTGTTAGGCAGATAATAAGATGACAAAACCTCAAAATATGGCACTCGCTGATCTTAATTACCAAGCTATCTGCTGGGTGTTTAATCAGTGGCACATACACTATGCTAATTATTCTGACTAATTTTGTTATAATGCAATTCTTTATCAACCCCGCTATGTATAAATTAGGAATTGAAATGTAACTAACACAAATTATATTTTAGGCAACATGAATCTCTTTATTTCAGTATGAAATCTTCTGATCCCTATTTCTTTATCTTTATTTTTTTGATTAGTGAATGTGACACCCTCCCTGCCCTAGTCCCCCATAGCATGAACCATCATTTGAGGAGAGAGAATCCAGCACCAATATTTATTTCTTGGAAACCATATATTTGACTCTCTGTTTCAGCAATTGTCCTTGAAAGGTACAGAATATATTTACGCAATCAATGGCAGACAGATATTTGCTTTCTCTGAATCAGCTAAAGGTCGCCACATTGTGCTATTTTAATTTTTAAATAATCATGGGATGGTATCATAATTCATGTATTCTCAGTGACATATTGTATGTGACTTACATCAAGTTATGTTTACAAATGTGTTTAGATGAGGACTAATAACACATATCTTATAGAGAAGCATAAATATGATCTAGAATTCTTTATGTCACATGGGTTTGCATTCAACAAGTTCAGGCTGATGCAGAAATTTGGTGTAGCTGTTCAGAGCCCACTAACATGCCTTCAGAGACTGTTAGCTTTGTAACTGTCCCTCTATCAATACTTCTGGTTTTGAACAAGTTTGCAGAAAAATAATGCCTAATGAATAAATGAATTGAATTGGGATCTAATTTACTCTCAACACCAAGTTATTCACTGAAGGAGGATCATGGTCTGGGAGAAATGAACAGTTCCAAGTCCTCAAAGTAAGGTACAAGCACTGTTAGCCATCTAGACTCACACACAGTGACCATGGTGTAGTTCTCTATATGATGGATCCATTTGTGAGACTTGTTTCTTATTTGATTCTAAAATGTCCCTGCTTTTCCCTGAGAGTCTGAAGGGCTGATAACTTCTTCTTCTCCTCTTCTCTCCCACTCTTTCTCACCTTTTCTTACAATACTGCATCTCAAAGAAGACCAAAAGAACAAAAAGAAAGGAAGAAGAAACTGACTAAAAGAAGATAGAGCTGGGCCCAGAGGGGGTGTCAGATGCCAGGAGCAGGTCCACACAGCACTGAAGCAGTCAGATTTTCACTCAAAACTGATGATTTTGAGTCATCAGAGCAAATATCTTTTTATTAAACAGAGTTTCTGTGAGAAACAAGAAAATTTGTGAAAATCTCTAGCTCATACCATCACTGAGCATCTAGGTAAATGCTATGTCTGAAAAAGGGGATGATAGGAGACCAAGGATGAGTTCCCTGAGATGAAAACTATATTTTAATTTTAAAATGAAATTGATACAATGATTTCAGATTGCAGAAACTCAAATTAGTGATTTAAAAGACAAGACATGGAAATCCTCTCAAGCAGAGCGTAAAAGGCACAAGATGGTACACGTAAAGAAGAGTAACGTTCATTGAAGCCAGAGTCAGGAAATTTACATACATATGCAAATAGATATCTATATAGATATATCTATTTATCTATCTTAGGAGAAATAAGAGTAGAGAGCATGTAATAAGTAAAGAAATAATATCTTTTGCTATGGACTGAATTGTGTCCTGTGCACCCAGTTCACATGTTGAAGCCCTACTCTTCCATGAGATTGTATTGGAGACAAGGTTTTTAAGGTTAAATGAGATCATGAGGGTGGAATCTTGATCCTATAGAGCCAATGTCCTTATAAAAGAGGAAGAGATACCAAAGATCTTTCTCCCCTCTTTATGCACAAAGAAGAGCTTGTGTGAGTACACAGTTAGCAAGTTGGCAGCTGCCTACAAGCCAAAGAAAGAGGATTCAGAAGGAAGCCAACCTTGTGAGCACCTGCTCTTGGACTTTGCAACCTCTAGAACTGGAGAGTCAGAAAAAACGAAGACAAGTTCCCTTAACTGAAGAATGTCTTCTCTCTAAAAACCTCCTTTAAGCACTTAAAAAAATTAAGACTTGGCTGGGTTCGAAGGCTCAGCCTGTAATTCCAGCACTTTGGGAGGCTGAGGTGTGTGGATTGCCTGAAACTGTGGGTTCGAGACCAACCCAGGCAATTTGACAAGACCTCATCTCTACAATAAATAAAAGATTAGCTGGGTGTGGTAGCATGCTGTTTGGAAGGCTGAGGCGGAAGGATCGCCGGAGCCCAGCGGATTGACGCTGGGATGGCCATGAATGTGCCACTGCAATTCAGCCTGGGTGACAGAGTGAGACTCCAACTCAAAAAACAAGCAAACAAAAAACTAAAACTTTTGTTTAAATTGAGTCTTCTTCAA